CAGAAATGCCAGGCATTATTTTCAGGCATTTGTTACTAGGTATTATTTTCACTTTGACACATGGGCATTTAGTCTTCCTTGAAAACTTACACAAAGGGAACAAAATAAATGATCTAGATAAAGAACAATTGTGGAACTGATTGCACACAGGTGATTTTTAATGATTCAAACTTCTCAAAGTAGATAACATCTATATGTCGAGTGGATTATGAATATTCTGATGACTTTTAAAATGTAATAAGGGTAATGTTAATTTTTAAATCACATTGTTTCTATATCTATAATTAAGTTAAGATTCAAAAGCTGGTCTCATATCCCAGCGGAGAAAGAAATCTGCTGACATTTAAGTTGAAAATGATTAGAAACACTATGTACAATTTTTATTCAATAATTATTAAATTCCACAGTATTCAAATGACAAAATAGCAAAGCCTCACTCTATTTTAAAACAGTGATATAAGAATCTTTCCAAGAATATACCACTTTATTTCACCATGCTGCTTTCTTCAAGCCCGACAATGGCAATCATCATAGGTTAGATAAAATCTTCAAAGAACTCTAGTCTGACACACTAAAGAGGAACACAAGTAGGAAAATATGGCCTAAATACAAGGAGGAAAATCCTATTACTTTTATACTTCAGAACATTCTAGCATTTTTATCCCATAATTATAAACTACCAACAAAACTACAAGTTACAAATATTTATTATTGCTTTCTTTTTCAAGGAAGCCACTGAAACGATGAATAGATGAGAAATTGGAAATTATCTACCTTTCACAGTAATAACAGGAGAAAAAAAACTTTCTACAAAATCCAGTACTTTGCTTCTTCCCCTGCTAAAGGGCTAACAAGAGATACAAAGACACCATTGTAGGTCAGTATGGGTGGCTCCTCTAGCCCTCCTACAGAAATAAACTTCATGGCCTTTATTGTTTCACATATAAGTGTGGAAATATTTCTTAACATAAAGCCAAATTTTATATATAAACAAAGCAAATACTAATTCCTCTGACTTTGCTGAGTCATTCACTTAGCACAATACTAGGCCTATAGAATGGACTTAAGACAAAATTATTGATTCAAAAGTAAGAATATACATAAGAATATGACCTAGAAAAATGTGGAGCTTAATAAACAATAAACTTTAGAGATCATCCTAGTGATCTAATTTTCTTAATAGAACCTTCATTTATGTCTTTGAGAAGCGTATGGAGTCAGAAGTTCAGCAGCACATTTCATTGTTGTTATCATAACTTAAACTTAACATCCAAAGGGGAGTCAAATCAGTTATCTCAACTGCTGCCCTTGGTTTGCGTGATCAAGTTGGCAAAGCAGAAATCATCAGTGGCTGGCTTATGTGGTTATGTCCACCCCATTCCCCTCCTACCAATCCCCTTTCTGGGAGATTAAACGGATCTCATCTCTGATCCTAGTTCCATTTAACACAAAAGGATGTTAGAGAACGCCTAAGGTACACTTAAACAATTAAGCAAACAACTGTTCATTTTGGTTTTTTTGTTTTTGTTTTTGTTTTTTGGTGCATGGGGGGTTCGAGATAGGGTCTTGCTCTGTCACCCAGGCTGGAGTGCAGTGGCACAACCATAGCTCGCTGCAGCCTCAACATCCCAGGTTCAAGCAATCTTCCTGCCCCAGTCTCACTCTCTCGAGTAGCTGGGACTACAGGTTTGCGGCATCATGCCTAGTTAATTTTTAAATTTTTTGTAGAGACTGGTTCTCACTATGTTGCTCAGTCTGGTCTCGAGCTCCTGGACTCAGGTGATCCTCCTTAGGCAAAAAACTTTTTAAACTCTTTGCAGATAAATGATGCTGCGTGTAATATTGTTGCTGATCATTTTGCTTTTTATCAATATTTTGTAATACTTGAATTTTTTATAATTAAAGCAATGAAATTTAAAGCCATGACTTTTGGTTCTAATATTTATATGTTATTTCCACATGATTACTTTTATGTGAACTTTATATCTTTAAAAACACCATGAATAAAATATTAAAGAAAGTTCTGATTAATAAGACCTTAAGGATAAGGTTTTTGAGGGATTTCACATCGAATATGTTAAAGGAAAAGACTCATCTCTAAAATGAGCTAGGAATAAATTCAAGTTGAAGATAAGATAAATTCAATGATTCTTCATAAGGACAAAATAAATCTTCAAGAATCAGTTTACTATATCACTGAGTGTAAGATATTCAGTAAAAGTGAAAAGCATTTCTAAGTGGAGTAAGAATTAGTAAATTAGACTTTTTAAACAATAGTTTGTTTTTCAGCATCTCTACTTCCAAGTATAAAGAAAACAAATAAACAAACTGCAAACTAAAGCCTTCAACTAATTTTCCCTGGCACCAATAACTCCAGAAGTATTTGCAGTTTTTTTCTTACAGATCCAAGTCAAGAATAGACATAGAAACACAAATACTAACATACGTTGCATTAAACTGGTCTAATTAGGAATTAGACGACAGCTTTCATTGGTTTCTCATTGCCTACTCATCCCATACATGTGGATATAAACAATAATGTTTCCTTAAGTCTATTTACTGAGCTCATGATTTTAAAAAATTACATTAATTTGCACATTCATGAGAAAAAAATACAGTTTTGAAAAAATTCACTGAAGAAAAATATTAAAATAAGGTGTTTATAATATTTCAAGTGTTAAAGTACTGTGTGAGCCACTTGGACACGCTCACACAGAAGGCTGTTCAGTAAAAATCGCTTCTATTTGAGATGGAGGGGAATTCTAGAAGCTATAGCTACTTGCACTAAGCATATTGAAGCAATTTTGCCTTACGGTGACAAGAAACTTCAGAAGTAAGCTGGGTTCACAGGTGAAGACCGTGGTGTGCACTTAAAAGAAAAGAAGTAGCCTGTTCCAGCCAGGAGGCAGAGTATCAGCATCTTTTGGGCATCATGTTTTTATTCCAGTGATGTGAAGATCCCAAGGAAAGCTAACTACAGAGATCTAGAATGGTAGTGACAAGTAGGAATGCTGCTGAGAACCAATTCCAAGAAGAAAGGTCAAGGTAATGTGCAGAGGGAAAAAATATTATTGGCTACAAGTGGCCCTGAGAATCAAAAATAACCATAATAATTTAGTTGCTTTATTTTGTGTTTGTAGGCAAAGAAAATCTAAATTAATAAGAACACTGCTCTTAAGCCTTTTACCCAGAATATGATACCTTCAGATTGCTTGACTTGTTTCAGTCAACTTGCTTTCCTCAGCATTTCTAATACAGTCAAGCATGAATGTAACTGAACCACTACATATGAACATAAGAGCTCCTGTTTCCAGATAGTCAGGAAATCCATTGGTCTTGGCAACCCCAGAGAGTTGCAGATGAGGAAATTGAGGTCCTAAGTAGTTATATGAGTTGAATATATTTAAAACTAACAGATTATGAATTCAAGGCATGAAACATTAATATATTATTATTATTCTATACATGTTATGCCAAATATAAAATATGCATAATGCCATATAGGACATAGAAATCATATAGTAGTGAAAACACATAAATGCACATAAGTGTATCCAATGTATAAAGATATTTCCTGTAGATTACAACAGAAAGCAAATGTTCACACAGGTGATTTTCCCACTTGATAACAGATCAATTCCATTCATCAAAAGTATATTTAATTCCTTTCTATTTAAGCATAAATTAAGACCCTTCTAAACATTTATAGGCTCTTGGTGTTGAAAAGAATCTCAAAAATCAAAAATCATCCAACCTCTCTTCATATGTGACGCATGAGTTTGGAAAGTAGCAACAATGCTCTATGGCTATTTATTATTATTTTATTCCCTGGACCAGTAAGGGATTGTCACATAAAAATAAGAAACACTTACATAAGAGAATCTCCAATGGTTTCCCTATTAAGAAACCATTCTATAAAATGAGTCCATCTTCTGAGAGACATTCCCAGCCTAAGGTTTCACTGGATCCAGGCGGCAATGAGATCAGGACCAATAAGAGTCTCCATTTGCTTCCCAACCCACCAGACCCCAAGTATACATTGTCAAGACTATGCTTTATTCACTTTGTGTTCAGTCACCACTAGAATAACCTCCTTTACCCTCCCCGACTCAGTCCACTACTGTCTATGCCTGGCACTTAGAGGGGTGGTAGGTGGATGGATGGATGCGTGGATGGATGGATGGATGGATGGATGGATGGATGGATGGATGGATAGATGGATGAGTGAATAAAGTACGTAAAAACTTTCCTCTTTTGTTCCACTATAATTCATATTTCATTCAAATACCATGATAAAGTCTCAATCTCTTCTTCTAAGGAGATGTTGTCATTTTTCCTATCAAAACTTAGTAAATGTCTGTAGCTGGCCAGTTTCTAATTATAATAAAAACAAAAAGATATCATCATTTGGGTAGCATATCTCAGGACCTGGGAATTTTTTTTAAAAAGTCTATATCATGATTTCACTGAGAACATTAGTATCTTCTAAGTGTTATCTTCTACGTTAGCCCTGTGTATTCCCATCAGAATGAAAGGGATTAGGATGAGAGCTAGGGCTAGAGTTGATATATATAACCCTGGAATGTTTCAAAAGTTTTTTTAAAAAAAGAATCTGAAGTTTAGATTTGAGAGCATCATTAAGGGAAGTCCTATAATATACCTTCAAACAAAATGCAATTTTGTTGTTAAAGTGAGGCACGAGTTATTTCACAGCCAAAAAGAAGGTAGAGTATTAAACACATCATTTGTTTAATGTTGAAAATACACCCTGGGCCTGTGGGTGTACATACTGTAAAAAAGTCATCTCAACAACAATTACCCGCCAGTTTCACTCTCACTCAGCGGGGGAGGTGTGTTTCAATTAGTGGTTTCTTGCCAGTACTTCCTCATACTTTCCTCATACTCTTTGGGCATTAGGGGGTTGTAGAGAAGTAGAAAGGAAAACTCATTACCCAGCCCTCAGACAGTTCAGAAATTAAATAGAAGTTTGTACTACTCACGGCTCTGCCTGTAGGCTTCTGTCCTCAGCCACGTAGTTAGAAGGAATATAGCCCTGTAGTTGCTGACTGGAGCCATCTCGCCTTTTCTCCAAGTGTCTGGCAAACCACCAGCCCTCATGTGAAGTGTCCAGAACTTGAAGTTTGTCACCTGCCCGGAAGCTCAGATCCTCAGCAGTCCGAGCCTGGTAATCAAACAAAGCCACAAAGTAGCGGCCATGCCTCTGTGACTGGGGAGAGCAATGGGCCCCTGGATTTTCAATCACCGTTGACTTGTCTGCTTCCGTCGACAAGCAGGGGAGATAGGGTTCTAGATACTCCCAGAGCCTCTGACAGATGTTGCTCATTGTGCCTTGGTGGGGAGAAGAGGAGCAGGGCTTCTCCCTCTCCCCTTAGTCTCTGCGATCCACCTTCTCTTCCTTCACCAGGCACCTTTGAAGTCAGCACCAACTCACCATACTTTGGAGAGTATGCAAAGTCCCATTTCAAATCAGTCCAGCAGCTGGTTGCAGCAAGTCCTACCTGGAGAGACTTACCGGCTTGCTTTCTGTGGCCGGAGCTGCTACCCCCAAGCAAAACGGAGCAGGAGCTGGGCAGCTGCTCAGTAGGAAGGTATCTTTTCTTCGTATCTGCTTAAGAATCGCACAACAAAAATAAAATAAAATTAAAAGGGCTTTATTTAGACAAATATCTGAGAACAGAATGGTGCCATCTTGCCTTTTGTCCCAATAAAAAGTTAGCAAGAGGAAGCTACTAACCCCTGGCAAAACCTACACACCTTGCTTTCGCCAGGAGCTCTCCCCCTGTTTCAAGTCTGCTCCTGTCTTTGGACCAGTCTGGATCTGGACGGCTCTCTCCTTTTTGCTAATGAATAACCAACCAGCAGAGGTTGTTGCCTTTAACATTCTGAGCTATGAACAGACTGTAATAATTTCCCCTTACTTCCTGGTTTCTTTCTGTGATCTAAATGGGATTCTGACTTCTTTACCCCTCCCATCTCCCACACCCAAGATAGACCAGATCCTTTACCAAACTGTTAAAGCAGCCACTAAAATCTATATTCCTTTTGTTTCATCCTGGAGAAACAGGCTAGCCCAGGTAGCTTTTTGTCTCGCTATGTTCCCAACACTGACATTCACGGCAGAGATTTTTTTCCCCCACAAATAGGAGTAGAATTGTTTTGCCACCACTAGGGGAAATTTAAAACGGCAAATTATTTAGGTATTTCTTGTTAGACACAGAGCAATTGGAAAAGAACCATCAAGTCACTCCCTTTTCTCATTACCAAGAATAGATTTTAATAGCTTCAAAGAAAAGTCACAGTCTGGAAAAGTAAGAAAGCAGCTGACTAAAATGCTGAGAACCCAAAACGTTGCTTTTTCCCACAGACATTTAATTTCCTATCCTTCAAGTACTATTTTGGAAACACACACACACACACACACACACACACACACACACACCCCACACCAACTAGGTGACCAGTAGAGAAAAAAAGAGTAGGGCAGAGTGCTCTTTGCGCACTGCTGTGGGGGCTCTTTCTGCTAAACTTTGACTTCCAGATCTATACTAGTTCTTGCTAATTTCCTTGGCAAGAACTCAGGAACTAATGAGACTGACATCAGGACAGCCATCTCTAGACAGGCAGTGGGTTTTGCTTGACCTTCCCCAGTTCAGGGCAGCTGTCTCGCAAATATGTGCCCTGGATCACAAAAACAGCTGGGCAATGAGTCTGGCAGTCATTTATACTAGTAGACAGCATTGCAAACTTGTTTATGATGTCACTGATTTCCCTATAAGACTTTTTTTTTAATTTCTTCCTTAAAAACAATCTTTCTAAATGTTGTGAGATCCTTGAACCTGGCTAACCTATTCCTAGTACGAGCTCATAACTTCTGTTCTTTGTCAAATTGCAAGGCATTTAGTAATCAGAATAATCAAACTCAAGAAAAATAAAGAAAGAAAGAAAATCAGAGAACCATGGCATCAGCCCAACCTGCTACTACTTTGTGCAAAAATCAGTCCATAGCACTGGACAGATCAATTGGTAAAAATAAAATCTTGTGTTATGCTCCCAAGTTTCTCCAATCGTCTTTGGAGTCAGAGTACAAATAACAAGTTGACAGAAGTAGAAAAGCCAAAAGCTGAGCCAAGTTTTTGTTGTTGCTGTTGTTGTTTTGTTTTTTAATGAGATGAGACCTAAAATAGAATGTATATGTAATTTTATATTATATACAAAACAGAAAATATATAATATCAAATGACCATAAAGGACATTTTGTTCCAAATACAATAATGGATGTAAAAGCATAGGATTTTATTAGTGCCCCTGACAGAGGCACACATTGCTGAAGTCTTTCCTGAGACATCTACACGATCTAAAAATGAAAAAAAAAAAAAAAAAAAAAAGATTTAGAAGCAACCTGAGAGATGTATTGAAACCCAATTTGTAAGTGGGGTTTTAGATTTTTGAATTGTGGGGGTTCTAAATTCAGACATGTCTTTGCTATAGTTATGACAAGGCATTCTGGAAAAAGACAAAGCAGCAGACCTGCACACCACAGTCATTGAGCAAGTGAGTGAAATTCAAAAAGCGGCCAACCATCTGAAGATGTCAGGTGAGCAATGGCCTGAGAACGCAGAGCCAAGGGGTGGAAAGAGAGAGGATTTCTTTGTGTCGATAGTACTAGAATCCTCCAGTCACCCAATCTCAAAGTCTTGCAGTCATCTTTTATTTGCTCCCTGGTTTCTTTGAGCTAATCAATCACTGAATTCTGCTCAGTCTTCCTTTTCATTTATTCCACAAACTTTTTTTTAAGCTCCTTCTGAGTGACAGCTGGGCACCAGACAGAAAACAGAATATTCTTTCCTAAATTATTCCAGAAGCCTCCTAACTGATCTCACTTCCTCCAGCTTATTCCCGTCTCTGGCTGTTCCTGTACACCAAGATGAGTGGTGTTCATAATAGTTTATTGAGCAGTTTTTATAACAGTAACAATGACTGCGGTGATAAGACATTCCTAGTCATTACTGGTAAAAGTAAATATCTGTTTGGTAAGCTTTCTATGTGCCAGGCACTGTACTAAGAATGTTAGAAATAAGATCCAGGAATTCTACTCCAGGGTATGTATCCAAAAGATTTGAAATCAGGAAGCCTGAGAGATATTGAACTCCTATGTTTATTGCAGCACTATTCACAATAGTCAAGTTATGGAATCAATCTAAGTGTTCATCAGTTGATGAATGGACAAGAAAATATGGTATATATACACATTGGAATTCTATTCAGCCTCAAAGATGAAGGAGAAGAAGGAAATCTTGTCATATGTGACAACATGAATGAATGTGAAGGACTTTGTGCTAATGAAATAAACCAGACATGGAGGCAAATACTGCATGTTCTGACTTATATGTGGAAGCTAAAAAAATCCAACACATAGAAGCAGAGAGCAGAATGATGGTTACCAGAAGCTGGGGAATCAAGGGAATGGGGAGATGTTGGTTGAGGGCTACAATGTTTCAGTTAGACAGGAGGAATAAATGATAAGTATTCCATTCGAGACCATGGATATGTTAATTAGCTTGATTCAATCATTCTACATTGTATACATGTATCACAGCATTACTTTGTACTCCATAAAATATACAGTAATAATTTGTCAATATCAGGTAAAAATAAGATAATGTTACAAATAATATATCATTTAATTCTCACCAAATAAAAAACAAGGCCTACAAAGAAGGTAGTATTTAAAAAAAAAAAAAAAGTATTTTGGAGAAGAAACTGAGACCGAGAGGCTAGGTAATTTGTCCCAGGTCACAGAGCCACCAAGTGGCTAACCATGAGTAACATTCTGTTCTCAATCTGACTCCAGAGCCTGAGAGTATATAAATCCTCAGTTTTGCTGATGCTAAAAATATCTGATATTATTATTCTATGTAAAATTCTGGAAGAACCTCCAACACATTTGGAATAAACCTTAGTTTTACAGCATGACACATAAGGCCCTGCTAACTTCTCCAATCACGGTTCATCACTCCTGCACACAGGTCCTGTGACATAGTGTGCAAATGACCAGCAGTTCTTGAGGTCCTCTTCCCTGCTGTACCTCTGCATCCTCCTCCACCTTCTCCCCTGATGACTTCTTTGCATTTTTCAGGTTGGGTTCATGCATCACCTTCTCTGTCATAATAGATGAAAGGCCTCTGTGCACCCCTAAATTCTGGCAGAAACTTCTACTTGGTTTGTTGTTGAGCCCTTCTTGGTTCCGTATTTGTTTTCCAAGGAGAATAGAATTCCCTTCTCTGAACTTTTAGTGTCTTGTACAATGTCCATCATGTAAATAATAAATATTTGATGAATTAAATAATTAACACAGAAATAAAAAGAAACAGTGTGGGAGAGACAGAGATAAAAGCGGGGAGGAAATAGAGGGAGGGAGGAGGAAGCCACTGGGGAGAGATAAACATTTATGTGAATATTCATGATTGAGAGTGAAAGTTCTATAGCGTGAAAAGAGCCAGAAGCACAGAGGAGAGAATACATTCTGTCTATTGCTTCTCAGTCCTTTTCTTTCCTCTCTTATTGTTCCCTGAATGTTAGATTCCTTTCCCAGCCTCCTAAACCAGTTTTCCTGCCTGGAGTCAATTTTCTTCTCATTCTTACAGCCACCACATTAATCTTAATCACTCTCCTACACAATAACCTTCAACAGATCCTCATTGCCTGGAAGATATGACTTGGAATTCAAGGCTAAGGAATTTGTACTTTATCCAAACTTTATCAGATGTACCCTTTCAACACCCCCTCCATTATGGCTTTATGTTAGCCAGACTGGTTTATTAGATCTCCCATATGCCTCATCTGCTCCCACATCTGATCCTGTATCCTTTGCCATTCTTTTACTCAGTATTCTTTCCACTGCTAACTTCCCATCCCAGTAAGTCTACTTACTCCTGCCTGCATTTCAAGGTCTGAATAAAAATCCCTCACCTCCTTAGACCGTCCTTAACCATTCCAGTCAAAAAATCACTTCTGTCTTCCTTGAATTGTCTAGCTCCCACAATCCCCACTCCTCATATACACAATATTAAATGAATTGAACCATACTCCTATACCTGGTATGCTGAATACTGCTACAGAAAATCCCACAGCTATTCAGTTTTACAGTAGGACAAATTAATCATCCCAACTCCTGCTAGGCCTCAGCACTAGGCCTTGGAGAGAGCGATCATAAAGGAAAATCGGACTCTGTCTCCCCAACTCACACAGTGACATATTCCCCCACACACAGAAAAGAGGATTATATCCTAGGCAGCCACAAAAAATAAAAACAAAACTCTCCACCACATAGTCTTTCTCCAAACTCTGGCTGCGAACCCATATAATCTGCAAACATGCACTTCTTCATACCTGTTGACCTTTGCTCAAGCCCCTTCTTTTGCCTGATGTGATAACCCCAACTTCCCTCCCTTTTCCTACATTAACCAACTTCCAACTTATTTGCCAGATAAATATGGGTTCTTGTCTGTCTTTTAAGAATAGAAGAAAATGTCTCTGTCTTTATTAATTCTTTCCCAATCACTTCATTAGACAGAATTGACCACTCTCTCATTTGTGCCTTCCCAGCATAACCTATACCCATTCTTGTCATTTATTCCATGTCTGTCTTACCAATTGATTCTAATCTCTTTACACACTTGATGTGGTGTTCTTGTGTTCCTATATTGACACAATGCCTAACACTTAATGGGCACTCAATAAATATACATTGAGTGAAGTCTAATGAATATCATTCATCTAGAACACAGTTTATTATATCTTATGTAGTCTAATATCTGCTTATATGTAATTGTGTTGTTTCCCCAAGCATATTGCCCTGTCTTTGAAGACAAGTTTATGTCTTTTACTTCTCTGTATCACAAGGAAAATCTAGAATCTGACATATGCATAGGAACTCTCCCTACTTTCACTCGTGTTCAATTGCAATTGTGATGTTTAATACTGAGTGTCAACTTGATTGGATTGAAGGATGCAAAGTATTGATCATGGGTGTGTCTGTGAGGGTGTTGCCAAAGGAGATTAACCTTTGAATCAGTGGGCTGGGGAAGGTAGACCCACCCTTAATCTGTTGGGCATCACTTAATTGGCTGCCAGCAAATAAAAAGCAGGCAGAAAAATGTGAAAAAGTGACACTGGCCTAGCCTCCCAGCCTACATCTTTCTCCTGTGCTGGATGCTTCCTGCCTCAAACATTGGACTCTGAGTTCTTCAGTTTTGAGACTCACACTGGCTCTCCTTGCTCCTCAAGTTTACAGACAGCCAATTGTAGGAACTTGTGATCATGTAAGTTAATACTTAATAAACTCCCCTTTATATACACACACACACACACACACACACACACACACACACACACATATATATGCATCCTCCTATGCATCCTCCTGCGTGTATCCTATTAGTTCTGCCCCTAGAGAATCCTAATACAGCAACCTATTCTCCAAATGGCAGCCAAAATAATCTTTGTAAAATATCAATCAGATATGTGTTTTTCAATAGCTTCCCATTGCACTTATGAATTCCAAATTCCTTATCTTCGAGAACAAGGCTCTGCTGGGGCTGTCTCCAGCCTGTCCCTTCCCTCCATCTTATACCACTCTTCTGGCTCTCCATGGTCCAGCCACAGTGGCTACCTTTCTGTTCAACAAGGCAACAGCCAAGCCCTTTTTTCTGACCATGGATTCTTTCACTATTCTTCTAATCAACAACATTCTTGTCCAGATTCTTCATTTGGATGGATCTTTCTGTTCTCAATCTAAATAACATATCATTAAAAAGGTTACCCCTAACCACTCTGTCTAAAGTAGCAAAATTGCCCAACTTAGCTTCTCTCTTAGCATGTCTCGTGGGTTGAATTGTGTCCTCCAAAAGGATATGTTGAAATCCTAACCCTCAGCACTTCAGAATGTGACCTTATTTGGAAATAGGATCTTTACAGAGGTAATTAAGTTAAAACGAATTCATCAGGGTGAGCCCTAATCCAGTGTGACAGGTGTCCTCATAAAAAGGGAAAATTTGGACACAGACAGGCACAGAAACAACACCATGCAAAGATACACAGAGAGAAACCAGCCATGTGAACAGAGTAATGCATCTGCAGGCCAGGGAACACCAGCAAACACTAGCAGCTAGAAGAGGCTAGCTATACACCATGGCACTGCTGACAACTTGATTTCAGACTTCTAGCCTCCAGAACTATGGAACAATAGAGTTCTGTTGTTTTAGGCCACCCAGTCTTTGGTACTTTATTACAGCAGCCCAAGAGAACTACTATAGCATGTCATTATTTTTATGGGTTTTTGTTTGTTTGTTTTGTTTTTTTCAGCACTCATCACCCTCTGTACTTACGTCTTCTATTTATTTGCCTTCTGAGTACAGTCTCCTCTACTAGAAAATGTTCCAGTGAGATGGAGGCCTCTTCTACCCTCTTCACTGCTATGTCCCTAGAGCTTAACCTGTAATAGACAACCAATAATCATTACATAATGGTAAAAATACCAAAAAACATATTTTTATTGATAAAATAATATCACTACAAATGCAGTAGATACAAAGACACTGCTATTTCAGTGGAAAATTCCTATTTCTAGAAGGAAAGTTGGGGCCACTTATACTAATTGTAAGAGTCTTGTTGTTGTTGTCGTTTTCTATAATAGAACAAAGTGAAATGTCTCTAAAGATTATTTTATACCAAAGGCTGAATGACAATGTCTCGTTATTACTGCTGAGAGGCTGATGATGGGATGTGTATTATTCTGAAGTTTAATGGAAACTTTTTCAGGCTTCAGCTATCTTCCCTGATGCCATTAAATAAGCAGATCCCAAACAATTTCATCTTATCACTTGTACTAGAGTCTTGGCATCAGCTTAATCTTTTATTCTCTTCCAGATAAAATTTAGATACTTCCTTTGGCTATAATACAGCTTGGTACCTTGAGATCCTCCATCTCTTTCATCTTAACCTTCACCAATTCCTCTTTTAGTCATCTCTTGTAGGACCAAACACTAGCCTAACACTAGGGGAAATGACAAGAATCTGTTAAAACGAATGAAAGGAAATGAAATATGGAGCTCTTAAGTTATAATCAGAGGAAAACAATGATGATGATTATCATGATGATGAAAAGATGACCTTTAATATGTGAAGCAGATGGCAACAACTTAATTCTAAATTTATTCTAGTTTTCTTGGCCAAAGAGTATAATCCTCAGACTGGAGAAAGAAGACCAGATATATGTGAGTATATCTTGGAATTTAAAGAGAAGCAACGATTATTAGAAGCCAATATGGGCTTACAAAGAAAACAAAGATGACGAATTAACCTCAATTTCCTTTTTCATATAGAATTACTATTATAAATAAAAAATTGTTTAATTTCTTCAGAACTTAGAAGACGTCAAAGCCAAATGCTGTATTTTACAACTGGTTCTATCTAACCAGCTGAAACTGTTGAAGAACATGAATTTTGAGGTGTGTTGGCATGCCACGTCCTTAATGTTCATAACCGTAGCAGTTTTCCTGACCAATGATGATGGACTACATTAAACATCCAGCCAACATGGGATGCTGGACCCGTTCTCTCCTATACAGAAGGTGTGTTTTCAATACTTAAAGAGCATAATCATGAAACCCTATTTCTATATTTGAAAACCCATGAATTTTACCCTCAATGAACCACAGCTACTCAGTAAATGTCTTTACTGATCTGAGTTCCCTTACTTGTAAGTATATCAATTCAGCTTAAAAAAAAAAAAAAACTCTTTAAAGCTTTTTGTTTCATTTTTGGCACTGTCAAAGACACAAAACAGGCAGAGTATATCTAGATTTCAGTAAGATACTGAAAAAAATGTTCTAGCAATATCCGCAAACGGGATTAGAGAACTTGCTTTCCAAAAAGACTGAATATTCTTGTATATACAATCTCCCAGAAGCAGCTGATAAGCCTTTCCTAAAATATAGCTATCCATGGTTTACCTAGGTGATTTGTTCTTGCCTATTAAGCAGATAATTCATCAATCAAGATTCACATCTACTTAGCAGCAATATTATTTTAGGAGGCTCAATGCCACAGAGCCACTCTAATCTGTTAGACACTATCAAAGTTCCCCAAAATAACAGAAAATAGAAGCACCTGAAGTCTCTGGGGATTTTTTTTCTCTAGCACTTCTCTTTTGATATTTCACCAAATTTGGATACAAAATTTGTGGTTGGGCTGACTGAACATGAGGATATGTAGTATGACAGCACAGTTCTCACTGTTCATCTTCAAGTTTCTTTGCTAATTCCAAACTCTATGTGCAAAGTAAGATGAGCGGAGTCATGCCTCTCTTGCAGTTAACTCCTACTAAAAGGTTAATATTATTCAATATTACTGTGAAAAATATTTTTAAAACGTGCATTTGGCCAGACATGGTGGCTTGCACCTGTAATTCCAAAACTTGGGGAGGCTGAGGTGGGAGGATCACTTGAGGCCAAGGGTTCTAACCAGTTTAAAAACTAAAAGTCAGTCTCACTTGGTTTTCCTAGACGGTCTTATTCAGGTATAAAAGTGGATTAATTCTGCTTAGTTTCATAGATCAAAAAAAAAGGATAAATGTCATTCTGCACTAGAGCAGGGGAAAACAAAAAGGATTCAGGGTGGTGAGACCTGCAGATGGTCAGGGGAAATTCCTTGGGGATTTGAGCTTCCTCCTGTCTCTCTCACCTTTGACACAAAGCATCATGAACCACCCAGGGATCCTGTAAAAACTTAGATTCTAATTCAGTAGATCTGGAGTGAAGTCTGAGAGTCTGCCTTTTTAACAAGCTCCCAGATGATGTCTATACTGCTGATATTAGGACCACAGTTTGTGTGGCAGGAATTTAGTGACTCAATTTATAGCTTGGTTCTCTGAGTAAGAGATATCAGCAAATCCTCACTGACTATCACCCACCTTTGAAAGCATGGTCATCTAATCCCTTGGAGTTTTCACTCTGAAAAAAGATTTTAAAGACCAACTTATCTAATTATCTCATTTTAGAAGGAAGAAAACAGCCCATTATTTAAACAAAACAAAACAAAAAAAATGCTAAGGTGACTTGTTTTAGGTCACAGCTATTAGTGATGATAAAATCAGAAATAACCAACCCTGTACAAGAGAATCTTCTCTTTACTACACAGCTGCTTCTTCTCAAAAAGTTCAGTCAAAAGCAGATTCTGGACAATTCTTGGCTAGCATAGGTGGCAGGGTTGGGGGGCTGCATGGGTAAAGAACTCAGGGAGTGGAAGAAGAAAAGTATGTGGCCAAAGAACTTTTTTACGTATAATGTGACCCAAATAAGATCCCAGGACTAGGACCCCAGGCTCCTGATTCTCAGTCTAGGTTTATCTTGTGCTAACAACAATTTATTTTGTATCCTTTGAATTATGATGTTCACAAATCATATAACCTGAACCGTGGGCTTTCCTTTCTCAGAATGCTGCATTTAGGATGCAGTTTTTGCAAAATCTCAATAGTATTAACAAAATCCTAATGCAAGAAGAAGAAAAAAGTCATATATCCAATCAGTATTTTCCAGTTAAAAGAGATATGTAATAGGTTAATTTCTATCACCCATGTTGTAAAAATTTTAGTCATTAGCAACAATAACAACAACAAATGTGCCATTTCTTACTTATATATACATGGTTTTTTATAGAAACAAAGAAAAAATTTCTTATGCCAAAGTTTTCCAGATTAAGATTTTTCCTATGTCCATGCCAAGTAATTGGATAGAGCTTCAAGAATTTCTTGTCCAGCTAGGCCTTTTCTTTGTCTCTTGATACATAACAAGTATACTTGGCATTTTTTATTTTGATATTGGACATTTTTAAGTACCTGGTATTTTAATAACTAAGTTGATAATAATGATGTTTTAGCAATGTTTTTATTGAAAATCTGTTAAACTTATAATACATACTGTCATGTATGGCACACATGTAATTGGTGTCCTGGGCCTTGGAAGATAGAGTAGCTCATTTTGGAAAAGTAACTGAGTCTTAGGAGCTTATTATTTTTTGGTGAATCATCAAAGTCAATATGGTCAGTATATAATAAGAGCCTATTACAAGGCAGTTTGCTCTTCCTCAAAGTTAAACCACAAGTCATGCCTTGTCCCCTTTGTACATAGTGATATGTATGCATTTGGTTCGCTTTAACACAGAAAATCTGTAATATGTGCTCTACTCATCTTCACAAAGGAAAGTATTCATTACAGATGGTTGACTGTACACATTTTTACACGTTCACGGTTAACAGAAATTTCAGAATATCAACTTTAAAAGAAAATACATGAATTGAGTTACAAATCCACTCAACAAACCTAGCCCTACATTAATAGAATGTGAAAAACCTCATCATTCTCCACTTTTGCCTCCAGCAAATGTGCCATCTTCAGCCACTGGAGGTCATCTGCTGAAACTTCATTGCCCACTTCATAACAGATGCAATCAGAATTTGTTTGATAACAAAAACACCTATCAGCTAGTCTGTCAGTGCTCTAAAAAAAAGATTAAAATCAGAATTTGTTTGATAACAAAAACACCTATCAGCTAGTCTGTCAGTGCTCTAAAAAAAAGATTAAATCACATGCTATTAATAGACCAATTAAAGGAAGCACACTCTGGTGTGCCTATTAAAAATTATTTATTTCAGCAGTCCTTGAGGCTTACTTCCTTTGCTTCACTGGTTCAACAAATATTTATTGAGCTCCTACTATGTGTCAGGCACTAGGTTAGTGCATGGGGATATAAAATTAAATAAAATAAGCATAGTGTCTCCTATACAAGGAGAGTCTCTCTCATTGCAAACAAAAATGTGACCAGATAAATATTGTCAGTGCAAAAGGAGGTACAAATCTAAAGAAGGCATACATTTGTTTGGAAACAGTGTCTCCCTCTCTGACTACCATAGTAGTTTTCTTCTTTTATAATTTATTCAACACATAATTGTCGAACATCCCCTGCTAGGCATCAGGCAGGGTATTTGCTGTTGAGGATGTTGTCATGAAAAGAGGTACAACCTGTAACCTAAATAGAATTTGTAAAACTAGTAGAGCATTAGATAGCATTAGACAAATAGTTGTAGAAATAATTAATAACCATCCTGCTAAGAGCTGTGAAGCAGAAGTATCAGGTACTATAGGAGGGCTATTATTCTCTATTATACACAAGAGTCTTTAGATCTATACTGGTTTCATCTTTGTATCACCCACAGAGCTTGGAAAAGAACATTGAAAAATTGATGCTTAAATAAATATGTTGAGTGATTGAGTACTGAATTTGAGGATGGGGTAAAAAAAGTCACTCTTTATAAATAAAAATATTAATCAAAACGACTAGACATGGTATTCATTCTTGCTGTTCAAAGGTATTTCCAGTTCTCATCTTCTAAAATATGGTAGAATTGTACTTTCCTATCCCTTTGAAGATAAGCAA